AAATTAAGTATATAAATCAAGAAATGAATAAATATTTTAACATTTTTTTAATGTAATCTATAATAAATTTAATATTATATTGTACTGAGCAATGGAAATACTTTATTAATTATATAACTTAATATTTAAGATACTAGATACCAAAAAATTGCCCTATTCCTAACTAACTTTTTATTCAATGATATAGTTTTATTTCAATGAATTAAAATGTTAAGTAAATACATTAGAATTTATATACACATAAGAATTTATATACATATTCTTTTAAATAAAAATTAGCAAATAAATTGCAAACTTCCATTTAAATTTTACTATTCGTACAAAACAGATAAAATACTTTATTTTATAGTAAAATCGATGGACTTGATAAAGCCATACTTTATGTTAAATTTATTCTGGCCTATGATGTAAGTGTGCATAATGATGACCGGTAGATCTCAAAGGCTTAATTAAGTGTGGATACCAATCCGCAGTAATAAATGATAGCTTGGAGAGTCCCATGTTCTTTCGATGAAGCGAAGATAATCTCACGGAAGAACTCGACTTGTGCCGGGGACATCTGGCCGATATTGTAATTCCTCGGAAATTACCTGGACTAATATGGGATGGTTCGGCGCGATACAGTGGAAGCGGTACACTCTCTGGTCTTCGAGCGAACGAGTAAAGATAATGGACCCGCCATCTATTGGGCTACGCTTAAACTATACGCGGGTGCGCGCTGGCGTTTCACTATTTCATATGTATGGCACGCTTGCACGCACACACATACACATACACATACACACACACACACACACACACACACAATCTCCCTTCCGTGCGCTTACGATTAAATCGCGGCTGATTACGTGAATTATCTCAGTTATCAAAGTGCCGTCAATGGCGCTCGTACGAGCAAGGTAACGATAAATTGCAACAACGAGTGTCGTGGCGCATGTTGCAAGCAAAACACAACGAAGCTTTTTGAGAAGGACACGACGAACGAATGCCAACGATCGATGAGACGCACCTTCCTCTTTATACGCTTGATATGAAATTCAAATATATCCACATAAATGAAAAGCTGACATTGCCATCGCGATATAATTATGTTGAATATAATTTACAATCTGTGATATATCGATTGTATCGCAATAAAAGACGCGTATCTATAAATTAATGTCATTTCTGCAGAGTATTTTATTATCATGATGATTTATATACCGTAATAAGTATTCCGAACAAATGTTAAAAAATAAGGAAGATTAATGGCTCATTTTACAAAGTATATATTTAATGTTTGCTAAAAAAGTATCTTTTATTCTAAGCGTCCATAACGATTATAAGTATATTCCTGAGGAAAGAACATTGCCAAGCAGCACAACGTATCGTACTAATCTTCCTGAAGAGAAACTTTAGTCGATGTAAAAAAAATTCTCGTTCGAAAGTAAAATAATGGGAAGACAGTCGCGACAATATAAGCGCGCGAAACAGCCGTTAGCCGGAAAGACTGAACGCCTGCACGGGTCATGGAACGGATCAGCTGATCGGAGGCGCGCGCCAGAGTTTACGAGTTACGGCCGCCAATAAACTCGCCGCCGTTCGTTGTTGCTCATGCGACGTTTCATGGGTTGCAGGGTCCCGAGAAAAGGACAGAGAAGGGAGGAAACACAAAAGAGAACGATGTGAATGAACGATTGTGGTCTTTACTTGTCGAATAAGTTCGTCAGGATCGTCCAGGAATACTCGAGACGCCCGTTTTAAGAAGTCACGTGTAATTAATGTAAATTACAGGCAATCCTTTTGTCGTAGCATATGTTACATATGTCTTTCTTCGTAACGTCTTCGTTTAGTTGTCAAGCTGTTTGTTCAATGCAGTTAATTGCTTTGATTTCACAGGTTTATTAATTTCAATGGACTTTCTGAACGTGACATTCGAAGAATGTTACAATCGATTCACGATACCTTTCTGTGAAAACGAAAAAATATCTAAAGTTTACAAACATCTTTTATAGAAGCGTTGACAATAGTTTAACACATTACGAAAACAATAGAAAAAAGACTCTAGTAAATCAATTTCTCTTCCACATTGTCTGATTATTCAAAACACAAATACAAATGTCAACAGAAAATTTTTCTGCGAAAATAATGTCATGATTAAATGTGAAAAGATGTTATATTTTACATATAAACGTAAAAGAAATTCGAGAGCAATTGTCACAAAAGAAAAAAAGAAAAAATTGTAATGTGATAAATCGGAGTAGATGCTTACCTGGAGGTGGGTAGGGACTCGAAGTAACAGGTTCGGGCGCTCCATAATTTCTCAGACCGCCGTATCCATCATGAGGAAAGGCACCTTCCGCAGCGACCATAGCGGCAGCAACCCTACCGCGGTCATCCGCCGCGGATGGCGCCAGATACGGTACCCCCGCCTGCGAATGAGGATGATGATGTCCAGTCGTGTCAACCGGATGGTGATGCCTCGCCGTCGTGTATGGCGCGTAATTGCACCAACTCTGAGAGAAGCTCTGATGGCAGGACGACACGGCCGGATCGGCGGCGCCGGTAGCTCCGGTGGTGGATCCGCCAGTAGTTGACGTCGTAGTTGCCGCGCCAGCCGAGTTGTAGGACTTGTAATCCGAGGTAGATCCAGCGGTACTGGCAGATCCAGCAGTAGCGGCTGCGGGTGACCAGAAAAGCCCAGCCTTCCGGTTGTCCCTAGAGGAACCGGAGGTCGAAGTGGGATCGGCCGCCAGGTTGTAATACGTGGGGGGATTGTTACCCCCGTAAGTCTGATGATGGTTCAACGATTCGCCCGCCGTGGACGAGTAATGAGAATCCTGGGGATGATGCGGACTATAACTCCAACCACCTTGGGAGCCCGCTGAATGAGAGTGCCGTATCACGCCTGCTGCGCCCGCACCACCTGGCGCGCCTGATGACTCCACGCAAGCTACTTCTCCGTAAGTGGTACCACCACCTCCTGGTGTCGCTGTTAATCTCTTGGCTGGTATATGGAGTGGTCCGGCTGCACTGTTGCTCGCTACCGAAGAAGCGCTTGGCGAGGTTGAACTGGCGCTTGCTGTAGGCGCCGGTGGCGCTGTCGTTGCCGATGATACCGGTGCACCAGGTGAAGTCGGTGTTGTCGCTTGATGAGAGCCCGGTGTTGAGGTTGTTTGTTGTTGAATCGATACGAGGGTCGAAGCTGTTGGTGGAACTGGCGGCGGGCTGTCCTCGTAGAGGGAACCGTTCATCATGGCCCACCAGGTCACCCCGGTGGAATTCCCCGCTCCGGTTGCTGTTCCCATCGGCGTGACGGAGCCAGGATGGCCCACGCCGGAGCCACATAGCGGCGCGGCGTGAACATTATCGTACAGCGTCGCCGTCGAGCAAGCCACGTGATCGGCGATGGTGCAGATGATGACGGTTTATTGCCGGTGTTATAACAATATTTATGTTGACGTCCGCGTCAATTAATGTAGATGATTTGTCCGTGACCGCCGTATGCGTTTAGTGAAATCACGAATTACGCGCGATAAATCAGCACAAAACGATCAGAGTTCACCCAAAATGTAAAAATTGTCGCATGGTCATCGTGATCAATGTAGTGATGAGCAAAGCGGTTATATGTAGATTAGTGATTGTCCCAGTATTCGCGAAACACCGATCGAACGAAAAATGTAACGTAGATCGCGAATTGGTCCAATAGAAAACACGACAAACGTGCGCGTGATGAAAGAGGATTTTCACCGAGAACCGAAGAACGGAGCGCTCATCGTGATCGAGCAGTCGTGTTGTCCGTGAATTCACGGAGTAAATAAAGAAAGCGCGTGCAGAAGGTAGCGGAGGTGCGAGGAGTGAGCGAAGGCGGGTGGGGATAGGGAAAATCGTGCGGGTATACGCGCGTCGTCCGATGACGGGGGTTGGTGGCGGGAGAGAGGGTGTACAGCGCCGCAGCAGACAGGTGGAGGGGTAGATAAACGGAACAGAGAGAAACGAAGAGAGGCACGGGCAGCGCGAAGGATAGACGGAGGCGCGATAAAGTGCTTGGCAAATCCTCGGACGAGAGGTCCACACGCGGCGATGATAATCACGACGTCGACGATGATGACGATGTTGACGATGTCAGATAAGATAATCGATGTGACAGCAGTGAGTGACCCACGTGCGAATGTCGTCAATTGTAGAGTCGATTAATAATTCGTCCAGATATTATGCGGTCGTCCAATCGGCCGATCCAACGATGCAGGATGAGGGAAACGAAAACAAAATGACACAGCGCGATTTAGTGCATCGTTCGGACCGCGATAATTTCGGAGCAGCGATTGCGCTCGATCGCTACTCGTTAAAAGGGAAAACGTTGTAAAACTAGTGCGTAATTTAATGCGAACACCAGCTATGACACTTGGCAATCCGTCGATCTTCGGTGGGTTAATTCACTGCGCGACTAACTGCGCTATGATCGTCCCGTGGTCTACCATATACAAGCCACACGTCGCCTCGTCTCTATCATCAGCGAATATCGTCAACCCCATCATTACGAAAGAGTTCCGAGCGCGATTCATCAAACGTTTTGCTTGCGCGTAGAACGTTCGCAATCTATGCAATCACGAAACTCACAAACGGCAAAAATTCAAAGAGTCTGGAGTCGTCACGAAGAGGGAGAAGTTTCCAGATCAGAGCAGAATCCCTTTATTTCTCTCGTTTTTTATCTTCAAATCAATCAGATCAGAATCACCTCTTGGTATTGAGCGTAATGTGATCGAAGAACTCTTGGCAGGTAGTAGAACGCTTCTTCAATTCCGAGGATCGTGCGTCAATATACACACACACGATGCTCACACACATATAAAATAATCCCCCTTTCTTCTTGCTGGCCTCGCTGAGCCGAACTGAGCGTCAACTGAGAGCTCTGCCTGCGACTTGGAGCCGAACGGGCCAAAAGTGACGCGAGCGCGATCTCTCGGATCGTTTGGCAAGCGAAGCCCGGACGGACTCGTTGTCTCCCACCCTCTTCTCACGACCGCTTCTCGCTCTCGCGCGCGTTTCTTGGCGTTCTCCCCCCTTCCCCCTACCACGCGCGCTCTAATCTGCTTTTCTTCCTCTTCTCCACCGTCGCAGGCCAGCAAGCACGATATACCAACTATCTTACGGAGAGACTGCTTTTCTTGCCTTTCGACGAGTGTTATGAACTACCCAATTTCAATATCACTGTTTTTTTCTCGAGAACACAGGCGAATAAAAAAAAAGATGTAAAGATTACAAACGAAGACTAGATGACGAAACGACAGTAGTTACACTTACAGTACTTAACAAGAAATTGTATTTGGCTGAATACCATTTTACTGATAGGGTCTTCTGTTAATAAATATACTACTGAATTAAGAGATTTAAATTCTTTTTCTTTTTTATTCATATTTTGTAATTCAAAAATGTAGAATTAATAGTTTTTTTTTTTAATTATATATATAATAGAACTTGTGTCTATTATATATAAAGTGACAAGAGTTTAATCAAAATTTCAATCAAATTTAAAAATTAAATTTTTTTGTACTTCATTACAAAGAGGATCTACTTAGTCATAATTAATATCTATAAATATAATACATTTTAAAAGTATAGTTACGTAATGATTCTTATCTTCGAATGTAATATATTCTAACGAGTCTATTCTTGTATTAGTAATATTTCTTTCTAATAATAGTAATAAATAATAGTCGACCTTGTTTTGCTGGTATCTTTATGGCTATAATTTGGTCACGGTTATAATTATATTTAACGGTTTCATTTTACGGTTATCATTATATATTAGCGTTCGCAGGTGTAATTATATTTATCAGAGACTGGTTCGTTCATTTCAGATAGCTAAGCTTCTTCAGATAGCTAATCTTTCTGTTATTTATATTATGTGCTATTTTAATTACAGCTTTTTGTCTCCTTAACTCTATAAGCGCATAACATCTATCTTTCCTTTCAATTTCTTCAATTTCTTTGCTATTATAATTATAAATTTTCAATTATCATTTTTAACGAATAAGCTGTCGAAACTCATTAAGAATGTTTTTTCATTCAAACTTCTCGCGTCTTTCTTTCCACGAAACGTCACGTGGTTAGTGAAATGCCCTCATGGATCACGCCTAACAGCAGCCGCAGTCAACTTTGATAGTGTGTACGTGCATGTACACGCAGTGCGAGCAATACGTCATGGCAGTATTGCAGTCTAAATCTCGGTACTTTTATGGGCAGTAAAGTAAAACGGTCTGACAACAACTCCGGTAGCACACACGCTTTCCATCTGTTTGTCCATCAATGTCGTATGTCATCAGACTGTGTTACTCATGGCAGAATCATGTCTTAATGATCACGTATTAGTAATCAGAAATGCAAAAGTCTTTAAGAATTCCGCAATGATTTTAAAATTAACGAAAAATTTTTATAACAAAGTTTCTTAATTTGGATAAATTTAAATCTTACCGCTTTTCACGTGATTATAAAAAAAATTTATTATTAAATAATAAATAAAATCATACGTGTAATATTTAATAAATTTAAAATCATATATGTAATATTTAATAAATATAATTAAATTAATAACTTGGAAGGTTATGGAGCGAAATCAATCTTATTATTGCTTTAAATAAAACTATTTCGGTATTAATAAAAAATAAATTAAATGTTGCAGATTTAAATTTAGCCTAAACTAAAATATGAAGTTTAAAATATATTTTTTATTCAAACAAAAAAGAATAACTCTTTTAAATATTTTTTTTACTAATAAACATAAACAATCCATTTGTATTTTGTTTTCAAAAATGCCTTTAAAAGATGTGTCTAGTGAATATTAAGATTTCTATGATGTTTAATGTACCTGGTATATAATGAATGGAATCTAATATGACGGCGAGACGAAAATGGGGTCGATTAGTCTGTCAGCGGCGAACCAGACACTAGGACGATTTCGAATCGCGATCGTGTCAGTACACGTGTACTAAGTAGGAAACACAACTCGCGCTTGAATACGAGTGTAATAAATCGTGCGGGAGGCGCGAGCCACCCGACGTTTGTTGTACAGGCGACGCGATCATGAATGGACTTTATAGCAGCCCGCCCATTTATAGGTAGTATGCGCGCGGTTTAGTAGCTATGGGCTTAGTGTGACGCGGTTGTATACAATCCTCTGTTTACTGCAAGTACGTACCTAGGAAATGGATAGGTTTATGGCCAGATTTTCATTCGGGCTTTCGAAGCTGATCATTCACTAAATTAATAGGAATTAACCTGCATATTGTATTGCATTGATACGAAAAGAAATGCATTGCCTTGTTATAAACAATTTTTATATTTGGTATATGCTTGTTACTGACTGATTGCCAAGTGCCGTATAGTATTCTTGATACACTTATTCAAATTTAATATTTCATATAGCGCAAATTATAGTAGATATTATGTTCTATTTAATTTTAATCAAATTAGTATCGTGGAAAATAAAATTCTAAATACAAATTAAAATTAATGTGTAACTCACCTTGTATACCGGGCAGTGTTCCGGGGAACACGCGGGAAAGCCTGTAATAGTAAACAGATTGCGAATTTTATTTGCAAAATTTGTATCGCTTCTTATATGTAAAAAATGTATAATAAAAGATCAAGACAAAAATATTGTAAATATGCCTTTTTACAAAATTATAAATAATTCAATATTGCTCCAAGTATATAAATGAACGCTAATAATGTAAAGCTACATATAACAATTTGGAAAAGACGTACCTGCTGCTCAGCTCGAACGGATGAAACGTCTTCTCCACGGCGCCGTACACTTTGAGGCCTTTTATTTACAAGTTCAAAAGGAAAAATGTCAGCCTGTAAAAAAACCGGAAGCGCAAATTAAATGTCTGTTGGTTAACAATTGTCCTTCATAACGGATCATGTTACCATGAGTTTTATATAGCTTTTAGTAGTTTCTATCACGGCAGGTATAAAGATCTCTACCTTGTACCATTAATGTGACGCCATTCCATAACGAAACCATTCCATAACGAAACTTTGCTCTACCTTTACATTCGGAGACTTAGCTTTATCGAACCATTTAAAAACGCTCATTACTTATCTTATAGTAAAATAAATGATATTCAATTACAAAACAACTTGATATTTCAGAATACTTCTTTATCTGTCTGAAACTCATAGTTTTAAACGTGAAAAATTCAACTTATTCATATGTGCAATAAATATTTATTAACGCAATACTTCATTTTAACTGCAATATTTAGTGAATAAATATATTACGAGCGTCATGAAATTAAAACCTTCACGCAAAGAAACGAACATTACAATTAATTGGTCGCTGTGATTTCTTTAACATAGAAAATTTTATTTGTATTTGTGAGTTTTGATCTATCATAAGGGATTTGAATGCTAAAGTTTAAAAATAGAAAAGAGAAAATATTCTCTGAAAGAATTTATCGAATTTAAATTCCTCGAGATAGAATTTATTATC